CCAGGCTCATGTATTATTTGCATTGCGTATGTTATACAATTGAATATGACGATAATGATATTGAATGATATACAAATTTTCGAAATTATGCAGATTTATCTGCCGCTGAAGATCGAATGGTACTTTATTTATGTTATACATTAAGTCCAGATGTATTTGAAGATAAAGTCTTTTTTCAATCAGATGCACTATGTGGTAATAGTGGCAATAGAATATATGAAATTGGTCAAGTACAACACACACTCGTGGCTGCACAATCGATTGTTGGTGCCGGACGAACACGACGTGTTAAAAAAATAATGGCCTATAAACAATCGTGGATGAATACATATTATATTCAGCCGATGAGAAGACGAGCTGCATACTACCAAGCACTTCGACAAATATCAACAAGTTGCACAATATGTTAGACGTGTTAATTCTCGCTTTTTTTTCTTTCTACAAAACGTTTATCTTTTAGTTCAAAATACATAAACTCGTTTTTCTTTATTATCTGTCAGTTTACTGTAAATTAAAAAACTAAATTCTGACGAAAACTTGCATAGTAAAGAACAAAAAAACAAACATGTGATACGCAAGCAGATGACGGTTTTTAAGGCGGCTGAGTGAAACTAACAGGCATAACAATGATCTCTCATCTCTCTCTGTGTATTCGTCTCCCAGACAAGTGCTGTTTAGATTTTTTAGAATAAAACAATATCAGGCTCAAATGATTTCGTCACCTTCATGATTCGACACATGCATCAAGTTTATGATGCTCAAGTGTATCATGATCATTCTTTACTTCAATTTTCTCTTCTTCCCATATCATAATCTATTTTTTGCTCAGCGACTGGGACAGTACCGTCATTCTTTATGTCAATATTATTCGGCATATCGGCAAAGTATGGTTGAAAACGGGTTGAATCACGTGAGGCTGTACCCCCATTTCTTTTTTCATTTTACACGCTATCGACTAATATTGCCATGAAGGATGATGGTACTGGCCGGGCTGTGCAAAATAGATAGTTTATGATAAGGAAAGGAAAAAAAGGAAAAAAGACGCCAGAACGGAAAGAGTGTCTAAAATTTACTATGAAAAATCGCAGAGACTGTGACGTCCCCTTCAGAAACTCAGAATGAAAATTAAAAGAAGTCCGCTGTCGGATTCGTCTTGAAATTCTGCATATACTATCTTAGTTTCATCAAGTTCGGTCCGGCGCAGAGTTTGCATCTAATTTTCTAATAATATCAGCCATGGTACGCAGTGGCGGATCTAGCACTACGGCGGTCCGGCGACCACTGCCCCTTCGCAAATGAAATTCTAATGCAAGTACACTACCAGACTTTCTTAGAAAAAATATTCATAGTACCTCGGACGACATCGTTTAGAAATCGCCACGTCGTCTGTAGAATCCTGGCTCCGCCACTGATGTTACGTAAGCCACGATCTATGTTGTTCACTAAGAAGAATTTAGACTATTTTCCATCTCATATAAAAGACTAAACATTCTGAGTAACATGATGTTTGGCAATTGGAAAAATAATGTATGCTTACTGAGCTACGAAATTTTCAAAACTAGTCCCGAGGCAAAAATAGCGTTTTGAGCTTGAAGTACTGGTTTTAGTCAAATTAAAATAGCTCAGCTTTGTAAAGTGAAAGAGAGGTCGGATTTGCGTCATTATTTAAGTTGATACCCAGACTACCGATTACCCAGTCACATGTGCCACCACATGTGCCACGTGGGTAACGATGAGTCATCAGCTTTGGATTTTAGAGCTATTTCTGAAATATCTTTTCTGCACGGACGAACAAACATTTTTTCGATATCTCGGTGTTATCATTTAGTCAAGTAGTTACTGTATAGAGGTACTGAAAGAAAAAATTTGGAATTTTTAAGTTCTAAGGAAAGCCGGTTTTTGAACATTAAAACGCGGTTTGCGTTATATAATACTTAAAATTTTCGAAAAAAATGGACTAGTTTTAATACCGAATTCTTTTTAAAAAGCTGTTTTTCATATTTCTAACTTTCAAAATCTCAGAATTTTAGAAATTCAGGATCTTAGAATTTCAGACCCTCACACTATCAGAATTGCAGAATCTCAGAATTTCAGATTCTCAGTTATACGCCACTATCCTCTGTGCATCAGACAGGACCAAACTGATAATCATCGCCTGGTATAGCCTTCAAACATTAATGCGATCTTATACCGAGTTTTCCCACATTATGAGATGAAATTTTGTGTAAGAGAAAAAGTATTTTTTCACAACTTCAAAAAAACTGAGATCACGAATAGAGAACATTTTAATCTTGATTAACTGCTTATGGCACTCGCTGTAGGCGATCACTGGATAAATATCATATTTATATCAAATAATGAAATGGCATCTTTTTTGAAAATAACTTCAGATGAATGAAATGTGAAATGAATTGAACTGTCTTTTCAGTTACCGTTATTTTAACGGTAACTGCGTTTCCAGTTCCCGTTGAACTAACGGTAACTATCAGTTAGTTAACTTTGTGGTAACTATTTTTTAAGTATGACAGAAATATTCAGGCAGCGGCTTAAAATGGCTTCCAAAATCGTTAGTTTTTCACTAAAACTATTGAAACTTTCGTAAACGACATGGTTTTGTAGTCTAATTTCGTTGATGAAAACAAAAAGATTTCTCAAGCTGGCTGTAGATGCTGAGGTCTTCAGAGACCTTAAAAAACCGCAGTTACAAAATATTGAAGTTATATAATTTCGATTAGTTTAGTCGACTGGCACGTGTGTGCCAATCAAAATCATGTCATTTAGGAAAGTTTCGACAGTTTTAGTGGAAAACTAACGCTTTTAGAAGCCATTTTAAGTTGCTGCCTGGATATTTCTGTCATACTTAAAAAATAGTCACCACAAAGTTAACTAACTAGGGGTGGCACATTTTCTTTACTGATGCGTTACTTTACTGAATAAAGCAACGCTTTCAAATATCACCATATGAGTGACGAACAACCGAAAATGTATTGTTTTATCACCTTCCGGACAAAATGCGACTAAAGCGTTACTATATTATGCGTT